ACTACTACTACTACTACTACTACTACTACTACTACTACTACTACTACTACTACTACTACTACTACTACTACTTAACTACTACTACTACTACTACTACTACTACTACTACTACTACTACTACTACTACTACTACTACTACTACTACTACTACTACTACGACTAACTACGACTACGACTACGACTCCGACTACGACTACGACTACGACTACGACTACGACTACGACTACGACTACGACTACGACTACGACTACTACTACTACTACTACTACTACTACTACTACTACTACTACTCGTCCCTGGCGCCATAGGGCTAGCACTCCCTAGCGCCAGCACGTCCTAGGGCTAGCACTCCCTAGCGCCAGTACTTCCTAGCACTCCCTCGAACTAGCACTCCCTAGAACTAGTATTCCCTAGGGCTGGTACTCCGTAGTGCGAGTACTCCCTAGGACGAGTACTCCCTTGGACGAGTACGCCCTAGGGGTAGTAATTCCTAGGACTGGTACTCCCTGAGGCTAGCACTCCCTGCGGCTAGTATTCGGTAGGACTAGCACTGCCTATGAATGAGATTACCTAACACCAACACTACAGCACCATAGTGCTACTACACTACAGCACCACTACCACACTACCAGTACCACAACACCACAACACCGTTACCACAACACCACAACATCGCTACCACAATACCACAACCACAACACCACAACACCGCTACCACAACACCACTACCACAGCACCACTGCCACTACCACAACACTACTACCTACGAAAAACTCAACAACACTACCAACACCACACCACTAACACAACACTACCAACACCAAACCCTTAACACAGCACACCACTACCAACACCACACCACTAACACAGCATACAGCACAACCAGCCAGCCAACACCACACCACTAACACAACATTACCAACACCACACCACTAACACAGCACAGCGACCACCACAACACTAACACAGCACTACTACCACATTGGTTCCAGATGGGAAGTACTGTGGCCCATTTTGTCTGCGCGGGAGTGAATTCCCGTCAGGGTTGCGAATCTCTCCAGATCTAACATGAGATACCTTTACATATTACTTTTCATTGAGCGGCCTGCGCGGGCCACAGTAACTCCCATCCCGCCGCGCGACGGGCCACACTAACACCCAACGGGCCACACTAACACCCAACGGGCCACAGTAACAACAGGTTGCGGGGACGCGGGGGGGGGGGTGCGACGCGGAATAAAGCGTTCGTGGCGGAGGGGGCAGTGGGCGGGGTTCCCACTCTGGCGCTGGGGACGCGGGGGGGCTCGGGGCAGAGAGCCACGGCGCGGGGGTCGCACTCTGGCGCTGGGGACGCGGGGGGGGGGGTGCGACGCGGAATAAAGTGGTCGGAGCTCTGGACACTCTGTGCAAGAGAATAATCGAGAAATAGTCTGGGGACTATTTTTGTGATATGTTTTAACATGTTTTGATTACTTTGTGGGTATTTCTCGTCGAAAATCCCCCTGTAGGGGGACAGGCCCGACTTAAAGTCTAACAATTACCCCCCCAAAAAAAAACTCCCCGAAAAACCAGAGCAACCTCCAAAAAACGTTCCGTGGGGAAGTTTTCCAGGCCGGGGCGGCGAGGGGGGGGGCCTCTGGGGTAGCCAGGCTCTCCCTGGGGCCTGGAGAGGCCAGGCTCCTCGTGGTCGGGGGGACGACGACGAGGCCGACGACGAGGACGACGACGAGGACGACGAGGACGACGACGACGACGACCACGACGACGACGAGGACGACGACGAGGACGACGACGAGGACGACGACGAGGACGAGAAGGGGCAGGAGCGACGGCGAGGACGACGACGACGACGACGACGACGACGACGGCGACGACGACGGCGACGGCGACGACGACGACGGCGACGAAGGGGAGGGCACGAGAAACATCGAGCTGGAATCCGCACACTCCTGGGGACTTCCAGGCCGCTTCTCGACAGGGAAAATGGGCGACGGGGGAACAGCACACTCCTCCCTGAGCCTATGTCGGGTTGACCCAAAAGGGGGTCCAGCGACAAGGGGGTGGTGCAATGGACGTGGTGCAATACATTTGGGGCGTGCAATACATTCCGGGGCGCAAAGGTATTGCTGGGCTTTCGCGTGCAATACGTTAGTTGTAATACAGAGCAATACATTCTCCGGCGCAATACATTTGCAATACAATTGCACCAAATCTATTTCACCATCCCATTTCAGCTGGACCCCCTGTTGGGTGTGCTTGACTGTGCCCTTCCACCCCCCCCCATGTTGCCCCTGACTGGCGTCACCAAAAATTCAGCCTCGTGAACAATCACGCCTAGAGCCCCAGGCCCCATCTCTCTGGAGCACTTCTCTGCAGGCAAGATTTGCGTCCGTATCCACCGCGTCTTGGACTGTCTGGGAAAGGGCGACGGAAGGCCGAGGCGCAGTGGACCTGGATACAAATCCAGCCCCCCAAGTGGGCCAGATCCTTATAGATATCCACTGTGCCTCGGGCTTCTGGGGAAGGGAGCCCGAGACTCCAAGACGCAATGGGCATAGATACACATCTGGCCCCTTCTCCGGGGACCCGACAGTCTCACTGAGAAAGCAACCCCTCACTTCCTCCTCCTCCTCCTCCTCCTCCTCCTCCTCCTCCTCCTCCTCCTCCTCCTCCTCCTCGTCCCCTCCCCCCCTGGGCCCGCAGCGGGTCGCCATCGCCCAAAGAGCGAGACGCGAGCGGCTGCCAGCGCGGCACGGTGCACGCAGGTCGTCCGCGAAAGCTGCGATGCCAGGAGCGACGACGACGACGACGAAGCGGAACACGACGAGGATGCCAACGCGGCACGGCGCGCGCAAGTCGTCCGCGGAAGCTGCGGCGCCAGGGGCCTCGGGGCCCGCGTTGGGTCGGGCATGGCCCCCTACGGGCGGATCTTGGGCGAAAGTTTAAAGATAATTAGTCCAACAAATACTTCAACATAGTCATCAAGAATCAAAAAATCGGCCCAAAACAACTGTTGGACCACTCTTGAAACACAGTGCGGGCGCGGCCGCAAAAAAACCCGCAAGAAACCCAAACCTGAGAACCCGTGCGCGGAGTGCACCTGAGGGGAAACGCGGTCGGAGCCGCCGCGGGCGCGAGCGGCCCGGCCCCTCTTCGGGGGCGACCAAAAGGGGGGGGCGTCCATGGGGGGGAGAATCCGATCCTCGCCCAAGAGGGGCCCTGAGATCCTGGCATCGCAACTTTTTCAAGACAGCGGGCGTTTTCGCTCAATTTCGGGCCGGGGCCCTCACAGATCGATCCAGCTCGCAAAATGACGCAGGAAGATGGGGTCCGGGGCTCTGGGCGTGATTTGTTGCGCTGTTGCAATATTTGTTGCAACTTCGGATCTCATGGGGGCGTCCAAATGGGGCGTCCAAGAGGGGGGGCGTCCAACAGGGGGGGGGGGGGCGCCCCAGAAGGGGAGGCGTCCAAGAGGAGGGCGGGGGTGTTCAAGAGGCCCCTTCGAGATCGTCGAGTGCTTCGATCCTCGTACGGCTGGCGTCGGAAAGACAGCGCGCAGCGTCGGCCTCCGACGCGAGCGCTGTCCCTGTGAGGCGACGCCCCCGCGAGGGCCCCCCGCGTCGCGCTGCCTGGGCTTCGTCGGTGCACGCCGCCCCCGATTGCGGGGGATAGCGTGTCGCGAGCGCCGGCGTCGGCGGCGGGCCCAGGGGGGAAGTGAGAAGGAGCGGGCCGTCTGCGAAGCTTCCCGAGCTTTCCCCGAACACTTTCTCTACCAGCCGAGAGACATCGCCCCGTGGCTCATTGACAATTGAAGGGGGGGAGGAAGAGAGCTTAAAGGAGAGAGGGATAAAACAGGGCTAGGATCGGGATGAATCGCTCCAGAGCGTTCCGGAGCGCTCTCAGAGCGTTCCGGAACGCTCTGGAGCGGCCGCGGCGCCCAATACATCCTCCAAACCCGCCGATTCTCAGAGATTTCGAGTCATCCCGATCCGATTCTGTCCTGATCTTCGCGTCGTTTGAGATCAAGGGGGGGAGGACGAGAGCTCAAAGGGGAGAGGGAGGCGGGGCAGAGGAGCGGCAGCAGGAGCGCCCGCCGAGCCAGGCGGGCGCGGCCGGGCCGGCGCCGCCGCTCCAGCGCGCCCCGGCCAGCGGAGCGCGCGCCACCGCCGCGCGGCGGGCCTCCCCGTCGCCAGGCTCCCCCCGAGCGCACGGGCAGCCTCTCAGGAGGCGCGAGAGCATCCGAGAAGCCCCGCCGCCTTCGGGGGCGGCCTCTTCTCCTTCCCACTTCCTCCCCCCCCCCCCCTCGCTCGCCGCCGACAGCGGGCCGAAGGCGGCACCACGTCGCACACCGCCTTCCCCAACGCCAACCGCAGGCTCCCTCCTCGGAGACCCCGGCCCTCGACGGCCCCGGCCCTCGAAGACCGCCTCGCTGGCATCTTTTCTGCCCGGCGGGCTTTACCGCGGCGCGGGCTGTCGACGCTCAGTGCCGGGGCTGCATTGGCAGAGCCACCCTTGGGCGATGCTTGATCGGGGGGGGGCGATAATCGGCAGCTGGGCAAGGGCCGGCAAATCCGTGGCTGTTAAAACGGTCTCCCCGGGAGAAAGAAAATAACAACAACAAACAAAAAATCCCGGATAAACACTCAGCGCGCTAAATAGTAAACGGCCTGCATCCCGGAAGGAGGAAACCATTTCCTGGAACTCCGTTTTAGCAGCCACGGGTTTGCCAGCCTTCGCCTGGCTTCTGAGATAAGTGCGGAGGCGGGGGGGGAAGGAGAGGAGGAGGAGGAGGGGGAGGGGGAGGAGGAGGAGGGAGGAGGGAGGAGTGGGAGGAGGAGGAGGAGAGGAGGAGGGGGAGGAGGAGGAGGAGGCGGAGGAATAGGAGGAGGGGGAGGAGGGGGGGGAGGAGGGAGGAGGGTGAGGAGGAGGAGGAGGGGGAGGAGGAGGAGGAGGAGGAGGAGGAGGAGGAGGAGGAGGAGGAGGCGGAGGAGGAGAGGAGGAGGAGGAGGAGGAGGAGGAGGAGGAGGAGGAGGAGGAGGAGGAGGAGGAGGAGGGAGGAGGGGGAGGAGGAGGAGGAGGAGGAGGAGGAGGAGGGGAGGAGGAGGAGGAGAGGAGGAGGAGGAGAATGAGGAGGAGGAGGGAGGAGGAGGAGGAGGAGGAGGAAAGGAGGAGGAGGAGGAGGAGGAGGAGGAGGAGGGAGGAGGAGGAGGAGGAGGAGGAGAAAGGAGGGAGGAGAAGGAGGAGGAGGAGGAGGAGGAGGAGGAGGACGGGTCGCCTAAGCCCATCGGAGAAACCAACCAGGGGTGATGGAGAAACGGGCACCTCTCCTGCCCCTCCCTGTTGGGCCGCCCCTTAGGCAGGGTCCCTCTCCGGGGGCAACCTCCCTTCACGCCCCCGATGATCTAAAAGGTCTCCTCGATGGGGTCCGAATCGATGGGGTCGGAGGATCGCACCGCATCGCTCCTCCTGGGTCGGAGTAGATGAGGTCGAGCAGATGGGGTCGATGGCGCCCCTCTCAAATGCACCCTCCTTCCGCCCCCCCCGCTCATCCAGAGGCCCCCTCGATGGGGTCGGAGTATCGGGGGCGCGCAAACATGGATTGGCGATCCATGGATCTGGCGCGCGGTCACCAAATCCATGGATCGGGGGAAGTGCCCTCCCCAAAATGCGGCCGGTGCCGCTTCGCTCGGCGGCAGAAATCCGCGATTTCCCATGGAAACGGGACCCGTCGCTAATCCACGCCCCCTTAATCCATGTTTGCGATCGCCTGAGAGTAGATGGGGTCGGAGGATCGCGCCGCATCGCCGATACATCGGCGATGCATCGCCGATGCATCGGCGATGCACCGGCGACGCCAGCGTGGAGAAAATCGGGCTCCACATCGAGCCGCATCGCCGATGCATTGGCGATGCGGCGCGATCCTCCGACCACCTCTCTACTCGGGCCCCAATCTAGGAAGCCTAGATTATCGCCCCCCCCATCCTGCGACGTCCGCCGCCCTGGCTCGGTCTGCGCTACGTGGCAGAACTTGGCGGCCCGTCGCACGGCACGGCCGCGGGCGCCAGACGGCTGGGCGGCCGCGGCGGGGCGTGGGCAGGGGCGGCGCTGGCGGCCCCGCCCCCTCTGGCCGAGCACCTGGCCTCGAATCGGGTCGGCGGCCTGCGGGGAGGGGCCAGCAGGTAGGGCGAGGAGGGGTGTGGGGGAGCTGCAGCGAGGGGACGACAGAGAAGAGACGACAGACACACGTATGCATCTGCAGAGAGACAGATCAAGCAACACATACATCTGTGTATACATACACACACACATATATATATATATATGTATACAAGACTGCACTGGTGCTTCGCGCCATGCACGTTGGTCCTTCACGTCTAACATGCAGGCAGAACGAGATAGAAGTAGATCAATCAAAACAGCGATCGCTCTCGGTTCCAGTTTTTGCAATCACCGTCATCATAGTGTTGCTCATTATCCTTCCCCTATGTGTCCTCCTCCCCTTCTGCGAACCCTTTCCCGTCTTCCTCAGATGTGTTTGCGGAGGCTCCTCCGAGGCGAGCTTCTGGAGGACCTCGCGAAAGCTTTTTAGGGGCTCATTGGGCGCATCTGGAGACGTCCCTGGCGCCTTTTGGCGGCATCTGGGAGGCTCCTCGGGGCACCATGCCGCGAATCGTGGTCTCGGGTCACGGTTTGAATGCTTCCAGAAGGCGTCGTGGGGGCCTATGTGGGCAGTTTCTGAACCCTTTTGGGCTGTCTTGGGGCTCTCTGGAGTCTCAGGAAACCTTTTTTGGTCGTCTTGGAGCGGCTTTCGGTGCCTTTCGGGCGTTCTCGGACGCCCCAAGAGACCGCATAATCGAGTGGTCCAAAATCATACAGAACCTTTTCTATGCGCTTCGAAAGCCTCCTGGGGCTGATGTTTGGAGCGTCCTCGGGCGTCTGGCGGGGGCCCGGGACCGCTGGAGGCCATCTCAGACCATCGAGGAAGTCTCTCGGGACCGCCGCCCACCCGTCTGCACGGCCTGGCAGGGACTTACAAAAGGCCCAGAAGTCTCGCGGGACGCTCCGAGGGGACGTCCCGTGGAGGATGGGGATCACGTTTCGGGAGAGGTGGGTCCGCACCCCCTGGATCAATCAGAAATATACGACAGGGAATACATAGAGAGAGCGAGGAACCGACCGAGAGAGAGTGAGAGAAAGAAGGAAAGAACGATAGAAAAACAAGCGACACAATGTAGAGACGGAGGGACAGAAACTGAGGGAAACAGAAAAAAGAGAGAGAGAGAGAAACAAAAAAAGAGAGTCAGACAGAGAGAGAGAGAGAAAGAGCAAGTGTGAAAGAGAAAAGGAGACAGTGCTCGAGTGAAGGGGAGAGGCAGGTAAATAAATTGAGTAACAACAAGTGGTGAGACAAAGAAAAACTTCGGCGCACCCGCAAAGGCTCTCAAGACCAGAGCGGTGAGACAGCCTGGCCAACTGGAAGCGTATATCATCATAGCTTCGCGTACTTGGCCAGTCGGACGATGCGGAAAAGCAAGGAGCACACCTCCGACCACTTCTGGGCGTCTAGCTCCTTGATGTCCCGCATGACAACCTTGCAAAGAAAAGCGCCCACTGAGAAGTCCATGGTGACCCTGAAATGTCATCAGATTATTGATATCCCGCGTGCTCCCTGGACATTGCCATGCTACTGATCAACCCGATGATGTGACTGATGATTATTACGATACGAACAACACTACGAATGGTGGTGATCATCATCATCCCCATCATCAGCATCAGCGCCATCATCATCAGCATCATCACCAACATCATCATCATCATCATCATCATCATCATCATCATCATCATCATCATCATCATCATCAGCATCAGCATCATCATCATCATCATCATCATCATCATCATCATCATCATCATCATCATCATCATCATCTCCGCCACCACAATCATCATCATCGCCAGCGGGAAGCGGCAGCATCGCCCTCGGCTTACGTCGTCATACGTACGACTCTATGGCTGCAAAGGCGGGCTATGAATAGACTGTACGTGATGAAGAAGGGCGAAATATGAAACTTGGCTCAGACCGTACCAAGCAAAGAGAAAACGCCCCCGCAGTAGGTCCTGATACAACAATAACAGCAGTACATACCAGGGTCAGAGCTGCAGCTGCTAGTCCAGACACGAATACTACGTACGACCTACGGAAAACGATGTCCGCAAGGTTCTATGCGTGGCACATTCGGCTTGCAAATACATGCGAACATATATATATATATATATATATATATATCTATATATATAGATATATACATATATATATGTATGTGCATATATACGTACGATTTAAAACAGCAAACATGAGAACTACTACTGCTGCTACTACTACCACTACCACTACCACTACTACTACTACTACTACTACCTACTACTTACTCTACTACCTACTACTACTACTACTACTATACTATACTTTATTACTTACTACTACTACTACCACTACCACTACCACTACCACTACCACTACCACTACCACTACCACTACCACTACCACTACCTCGGTACTACTACTACTACTACTCCTACTACGACGACTACTACTACTACTACTACGCTACTACTACTTACTACTACTACTACTATACGACTACGGCTACCACTACCACTACCACTACCACTACCACTACTACTACTACTACTACTACTACTACTACTACTACTACTACTACTACTACTACTACTACTACTACTACTACTACTACTACTACTTCTACGACTACGACTACGACTACGACTACGACTACGACTACTACTACTACTACTACTACTACTACTACTACTACTACTACTACTACGACTACTTCCCAAGCCGTGGTCCTCCCTGTGAACAGGGGGCGCTCATTGCCCCTCGCCTCCCCCTCCCCAGGGGGGGCCCCATGTGGACGCGGAAAACCCACGCCGCCCGCATCCCTTCCCTCTTGTCCTCCGGGTCCCCCCCGTGGACAATCGGAACGAACGGGTAGTCCCTGCGTGCACAAGGAGAACTGGGGACCCCTCCCCCTGACTCCCCCCCGAGAACAAGGTGCCCACCACCACCCACACCTCCTCCAGGACGCCCACCCCTGCAGAGGCACCCTCCTCACTCTTACACGCTGTTGCGGGGCGCTGCCTCCCACGCCCCCCCATGTGGACAAGCACGGACCACAACCACCACCCCGCCCACCCATCCGGACACACACACACACACACACACACACACACACGCGCACACAGACGCACACATCCAGAGACAACCTCCTCATTCTCATCTGCTGCCGCTGCGGGGTGCTGCGTATTTGCCCACATGGCTCCAAGAGGCCGCCTCTGATTCGTTCCCAGGCGGCCCCAAGTGACCACGAAGCTCCCCAAGGAGTCCCCCAAGAGGCCCTCCAACAGAGCCCAAGAGGCTCCCAAGAGAGCCCCAAGAAGGGCTCCAGAGCGTCAGCGTCGTCATCGTCGCCGCCGGCGCCGTCGTCGTCATCGTCGTCGTCGACCCGCCTCAGGGTCAGCGGCGCCGGCCGCAAGGCCTGCCCAATACAAAGTCCGAGTGAGACATGACATTAAAGACAAGCCTTTTCTCCGTAAAACTATAGAGCGGAATCCTGAATATATCGAGAAATCCGTAATAAAGAAATCCATACAAAGAGCAAAAAGTCCTCAATGAAGCAGTTGTTTTGAAGGCACGTGCGTAAAGCTACTGAATTCAGAGAGAGAGGAGGAATAATACACGCGGGCCTGCCCCGCAATGTCCAGTCACAGCCGCCGCGGGCGGTGCAGACCGAACTGCAGCAGCAAGCCGGGGCCCTGCAAGCGCCGACAGCGCCAGGGCCCCCGAGGGCCGAGCATCAGTATGCTGCCGCCTGGCAACAGCTGTTCGCCTGAGGCTGGCCGAGAAACGACCATCCTGCACAAAACCTCTAACAGGAACTGGGGCTCAAATCCCTGCTCAGGCCCCCTGCAGCTCGTCGTCGATGACCGAGCCCTCGAGGTGGTCCGGCTCTCTGGATCTGGGAACACCTGCTCCGCCTCCTCCTCGTGGTGCCACCCAAGCCTGTAGAGGCCCCGCTGCAACACCATGGATTTGCGCTCATTTGTCCTCGTCCGCTTCTCGTGATTGCGAGCCTCCTTGCCTGCAGCCCGCGCTGCACACACCCGCGTCGTCGTCCGCGGGGACCTCCTGCTCGTCCAAAGCGACGCTCATGAACTCCAGGGTGGAGTCTGCGCCGCCTTCTGCTCCAGTGCCTGCTGATGCTTCTTCCGAGCCCTGCATTGGCGCCAGCGCCCCCTCTGGAGGGCCCCCGCCGATGGCGACGGAGCCGCCTGCGTCGCTGCCTGCCCCCACGGAGGTACGCGCACAGGCGGCGGCGGGGACGGAGAGGGCGACCGCGCAGGCCCCAGCCCCAGCGCCTGCGCTATCTGGTCCTGCCGCTGGCTGTTGCGATCCAGCCTGCGGTGCAAGCGGAGCTGCTCCCGCGATGGCACCTCCTATGCCAGCGCGCCAGCCTGCTGAGCCACCAGCTGCTCCGACCGCTTCGGAGGTGGCTTCGCCTTGGCCGGCGCACGCTCCTGTCGTACCACCTGCTCCTCCCTTGCCAGACGCGTCTGCACCTGCAGCGATGGCAAAGGGGGCGGTGGCAACTGTTACTGCGCCAACTTCGCCACACAGGCCTGCAGCCCCATAGCAAAGTACTTCGCCCTGAGCTCCGCGTGGGCATCCAACGAGGGGCGGAAGGACGACCTCACCGAAAGGCACCTGGATCTGCCCCTTGACGATGCCTTGAGCTCCGACCCGAGCGGGCATCCAACGAGGAGCCGGAAAATCTGTCCAAGGGGCTCCTCGATCTGCTCCTTGCCGATGCCCGATGTGACCCCCTTCGTGCACTCACCTGCGCCACCTGCTTTCGCTCTGGCGAGCAAAGGCGGAGCCCTGGGACTGATGACGAACCGCACCCACGGCTCGAGGACAGCGTTGCACTCCTCGAACTGCCGCTCCTCGCCCTGCTCAGCGCTCGCCTCCTCGAACGGGCGCTGTGAGAGAGCGAACGGCTTGACGTCGTCATCCGTGCCGACCACTAGCACCTGCACCTCCTACAACTCGAGGCCGCAGGGGGCTTCACCAGCAGCACGGAGAGCCGCCGCGACCACCACGATCTGCATGCGAATGGCTCCCACGCGCGAAGCCGCTCTGAACCGACGCGCGTGGATGACTCAAGCAACCGCCTGAGCCCAGAACGGCTTGAGCCAAAATGGCTGGAGCCAAAATGGATACGGACTAAAGCAATCCTTACGACAGGAAACCTACCAAAGGAATCCTCATCACAGGAAACACTACCTATTTCGAGACAGAGAGAGCAAGAGGAGGAGCTCATGGCTGGCTCCGCTGTAGCTCTCTCCAGACCCTCCTGATTGGATTCGGTGTAGTCCTCGTGGCATTGAAAATTGAAATCCCGAAAATGTCCAAAACAAAAAAAAGACACTTCAAAACTATTGATGTGTTTTGGGCCGCCTGCGGGTCCTCTGGGCGCCAGCTTTGGGCCTTCTTGGAGCCTGTTATGACCTCTTGGGTGTCCTTGAATTCATACACATTCTTGGGACACATTGGAGGCCACTTGAGCCCTCTTCCGTCCTCCTGGAGCCATCTGGGAACGCCCCTGGCAGGCACACGCCTGGAGGGGGTCAACAAGCCCTGTGTCCAACGGGGGGGAGACGGGGAGGAGGGAGAGGAAATCCTGAGGGGGGCCCAAGCCCGCGGCGCCCAAGCACATGAGACTGCTTCCACGGTAGGGTCGCGTTGTGTCGACCCTGGCGTTGATTTCTGACACCGCGGGGACCTTTCAACCTGGAACGATCGGCCGTTTCCGAAACATCAGATCGTTCAACATCGACCGCCTCTGGGTCGCCGGCGGCGCTCAACGTGGAACGCTGGCGGCGGGGTCGCCGCCGGTCGACACGATGCGAACCTACAGCATTTGCGCTCCTGCTTCTCCTGATGATGCTGATGCAGCGGCTGCCCCTCGGGCCTGGAAGATCTTGTCCCACTTCGGCTTCGGCAGCTGCACCCCGAGCTGATTGCAAGCGGCCTGCTGCAGCGCCACGCGGCACCTGCTCGCCTGCCCCGTGAGGAGACGGCACGAAGGGCCACGGGAGTAGCGTTAGGTCGGGCGTGTCCCCCTACAGGCGGATTTTCGACGAACAACTAAAACAGTCCAAACATATTCCAAATAACATCAAAAATGCTCAAACAACGTCCCCAAACTATGTTGACTATTTTTGAATATTCCTCCTGTAGAGGGACAGGCCCGACTTAAGAGTAACAACATTAATACCACCAGGGAGCAAGAGGAACCGGCTTCAAGGCCAGGGGCGCGGAGCTAGACAAGAGGAGGGGGAGGAGGAGGAGGAGGGGGAGGAGGAGGAGGAGGAGGAGGAGGAGGAGGAGGAGGAGGAGGAGGAGGAGAAAGAAGTGAGGAGGAGGAGGAGGGAGGGAGGAGGAGGAGGAGGAGGAGGAGAGGGAGGAGGTGGGAGGGGAGGAGGAGGAGGAGGAGGAGGAGGAGGAGAAAGAAGTGGAGGACGACGAGGAGGAAGAGAAGAGGGGAGAACGAGGAGGAGGAAGACCACTGCAAACCCAAGACACATCAACAATGTTGCAAGGAACCTATCTCCGCGTTTCTTCTTCATCGGCGCCTGCGATAATTACTTTCATTGCGGGAAGCGCCTCATGTGAAGACAAGAGTATGAAAATCATCCATCGCACCAACACGCCATTCCTCGGAATTCCGCCCCGCGAATCGACGCGACTGCTGCGTCCTGGCAGTCCTGGGACTTCAATTCCACGAATCAACGTGACTGCTGCGTCCTGGCAGTTCTAGCTTTTTTTCCGGCGCACATTTTTGGAGAGGGAACGAAGAGGCGAAGAGGGAAGGCACGACGAACACCCTGCTGATCGACTCGGCAGTCTGTCCACCGTGGGCTTCAGGAGTACAGCCTGGAGCGATACAAAGTAGCCCCAAAAAACGCATCAGCGCCAGGGGGGAGAAGGAGAGGGAGGAAGAGAGGAGGACAGAAGAGAAAGGAGAGCGACTAAAGGGAAAACCTCGGGAGCGGGCCTTCCGCGCGCGCACTGAAGCGCTCGACCACGGCATGCGGGGTAACCCTCGGTACCACATCGAGGCCCTGGCCAGAACGGCTCAGCAGATACAGTCGGGGCGCTGACCTAAGGAACCCTAAATAAGGAACGAGGCCCCTTTTCCCCAAAAGTTGAACTTCGATTTCCCATGGAAACCGTCAGGGAAACCTAAGGAAAACTGCACAACAATCCAGGAACCCCCAGCCCCTCCCCAACGAAAAGGGTTCCTTCTTCAGCGCCCCGACTGTAGGCACAAACGCCAGACATCCCTCGAGGAGCACGGCTCCCAGGTACAGGAGAGGGACAGGGAACGCCGCAGCACGAGAAGAACAATGGTGGCGGCCGCCCCAGCGAATGCCACACGGCCGGGGCTAGCGCCGCAGAGAGGGGCGAGGAGAAGAGATGGGAGGGGGCGGGAGCTCCAATCATACGAAGCCTTGAATATGCTGTAAGCTTTGAAGACGAATGCACGCGGCGCTGAATACATACAGGGTCATAGTTCGAAAAAAGAAGCGCCCTCAGTGCTTGTAGTCGCTGCAGACGTTTACGGCGAGTGCTCGCGGCGCCAAGGCGAGGGCCACAGTTACAAAACGGGCCGCTCTCGATTCTTGAAGCTGCTGCGAACGCTGCAAACGAATGCGCGCGCCGCCAAGGCGAGAGCCACAGCTTTGAAACGGGCCGCCATCCATCCTTGATGCTTTTCCTTGAAACTGTTTCGAATTTCCCAACTCTATTTCATCTGGAAATCTCAAGCGGAACGCCTGGCCCGCCCTACCGACACGTCCAGGGGCGCGACGGGGAGGATTGATTTAGAAGGAACAGAGGAGCACCATCGGGCCTCTGAGGGCGGGACCGGCTGGGCGGGGGGCAAGCCCGAGGAGCTCAGAGGAGCTCGAAAACGAGGCCGAGAAGGCCCGCGGCGACCTGCCCGCCCCCGCGGCCGCGGCGGCCGCACTGCGCGCCGCGGCTCTTCGGTCTCCCTCTCGACGCCGTCGCGGGACTCCTAGGCCAAGCCCTGCCGCCCAGCGCCGTCGAGACGAACGCGGACGATCGCATCGCCTGCACCACTGACGCCGCCAGCGCGCCCAGCGCTCTGGCCCGTCGCGATGCGCACGCGGCCGCCCGCCGCTCACTCCACCTGACCCAAGGCAGGCGCCTCCCGCCTCAGGCCTCAGGCCATCGGCCCGAGAACCGCCGAGCTGCTCGGCCGCCACCGCGCCCGCGCCAGCAGCCGCCGCCTCGCCAAGCCTCCCGCTCGGCGCGCTGCGCCACCCGGACCGTCTCGTGCTGCGAGGCGCCACCGCCGCCATCTGCAAGCGTCTCAGGGGGAGGCCCGGCGCCTCCTGCACCGCCGCGCCCGCAAGGCTTGCGGCGCCCCCGAGGAGCCGCCGCGTCCATCGCCGACACGGGCGCGGTCGCCGCTGCTGGTGCGCCCAGCGTGGCGGCTGCGGCTCTCCTGAGCCCCTCCGCAGCTCGTAGAAGCCGAACGCCTTCACGAGAAAGCTGCGGAGGAGGAGGAGGAGAAGGAGGAGGAGCGAGGAGCGAGGAGGAGGAGGAGGAGGTGGAGGAGGACGTGGAGGAGGAGGAGAGGGAGCGACGAGAAGGAGGAGGAGGAGGCGGAGGAGGGGGAGAAGGAGGAGGAGGCGGAGGAGGAGGAGGAGGAGGAGGGGGAGGAGGAGGCGGACGAGGAGGAGGAGGAGGAGGAGGAGGAGGAGGAGGATGGGGAGGGGGAGGGAAGGAGGTGGAGGAGGAGGAGGAGGAGGAGGAGGAGGAGGAGGATGAGGAGGAGGATGAGGAGGAGGATAAGGATAAAGGATGAGGGGGAGAGGGGGAGGGACTGAGAGGGGGGCTCGGGGCCAAAAAAGCCCTGTGTGGTGAGGAGGAGGAGAGGCGGAGGAGGAGGAGGAGGAGGAGGGGAGGAGGAGGAGGTAAGGAGGAGGAGGAGGAGGAGGGGAGGAGGAGGAGGAGGAGGAGAGAGGAGGAGGGGGAGGGGGGAGGGGGGAGGAGGAGGAGGAGGAGAAGGAGGAGGAGGAGTCGGAGGAGGGGGAGAAGGAAGGAGGAGGAGGCGGAGGAGGAGGAGGAGGCGGAGGAGGAGGAGGAGGAGAAGGAGGAGGAGAGGAGGAGGAGGAGGCGGAGGAGGAGCGGAGGGGAGAAGGAAGAGGAGGCGGAGGAGGAGGAGGAGAAGGAGGAGGAGGAGGAGGAGGAGGAGGAGGAGGAGGAGGAGGGGAGGAGGGGGGAGAGAGGAGGAGGAGGAGGAGGGAGGAGGAGGAGGAGGAGGAGGAGGAGAAGATGAGGAGGAGGAGGAGGAGGGAGGAGGAGGAGGAAGAGGGGGAGGAGGGGGAGGGACTGAGAGGGGGGCTCGGGGCCCAAAAAAGCCCTGTGGTGAGGAAAAGGAGGAGGAGGAGGAGGAGGAGGAGGAGGTGGCCTCAGCCCAGCGGCGGCGGCCCACGGACCGGGCCCAAGGCGCCCTGCGACGCAGAGTTTGAGGCAGGCGGTTATTCCCCATATCCTAAGATGGGGTTATTGTGATTACTTGGACGCCTCCTCCTTCTCCTCCTTCTCCTTCTCCTCCTTCTTCTCTTCCTCATACCCAGACTTACTCATACACAGACTTACTAACACTCAGATTTACTCATACCCAGACTTACTCAGACACAAACTTACTCATACTCAGAGCTACTCATACTCAGACCTACTCCTACTCAGACTGACTCACGCTGAGACTCACGCACGCCCCGTTCGCGGCCGTTTTGTGGGGATGTCTCAAGCGGTTTGCCTCTTTTCTGTCCCAACATCCTTCGCTTTCGGAGCAGATTTGGAGGCTGTCTCGAGCGAGGCGCTCATTTTCACGGAGCCGCCGAGGGGTACTGCAGGGTCCCGTTCGCGGCCGTTTTGTGGGGATGTCTCAAGCGGTGTGCCTGTTTTCTGTCCCAACATCTTCGCTTTCGGAGCAGATTTGGAGGCCGTCTCGAGCGAGGCGCTCATTTTCACGTCCCTAAGGGAAACCGCCGAGGAGTATTGCACGGTCCCGTTCGCAGCCGTTTTGCGGCTTTCGGAGCAGATTTGGAGGAGGTCTCGAGCGAGGGTCTCAAGCGGTTTGCCTCTTTTCTGTCCCAACATCCTTCGCTTTCGGAGCAGATTTGGAGGATGTCTCGAGCGAGGCGCTCATTTTCACGTCCCTAAGGGGAGCCGCCGAGGGGTACTGCACGGTCCCGTTCGCGGCCGTTTTGTGGGGATGTCTCAAGCGGTTTGCCTGGTTTCTGTCCCAACATCCTTCGCTTTCGGAGCAGATTTGAAGGCCGTCTCGAGCGAGGCGCTCATTTTCACGTCCCTAAGGGGAGCCGCCGAGGGGTTTTGCAGGGTCCCGTTCGCGGCCGTTTTGTGGGGTTGTCTCAAGCGGTTTGCCTGTTTTCTGTCCCAGCATCCTTCGCTTTCGGAGCAGATTTGGAAGATGTCTCGAGCGAGGCGCTCATTTTCACCCCACAGGTGGGCCAGATTTTGAGGATGTCTCGATCGGTGGCCAGACTCGTGGACACAGATTCTCCTCAGGATGCCACAGGAGGCTCCAGCAGGCTCTAGGAGGCCCCAGGAGACCACATGAGGTCCCAGAAGGCATCAGGAGGCCACAGAAAGACTCACGAGGCCACAGGATGTCCCAAGAGGCTCTAGGAGGCCCCAGGAAGCCCCGGGAGGCCTCAGGAAGCCACAGGAGGCCCCAGGAGGCCAGAGGAAGCGCCAGGAGGCCTCGGAAGGCAACAAGAGGCCCCGAGAGGCCCCAGGAGCAGGAAGCCTCAGAAGGCAACAGGAGTGGCTCCCATCCCATGTGTTTGACGTATCCTCGTATAGATTGGGCCTCACCTGGAGCACGAATCCTTGATGTTATACGTATGTTTCTATATATGGTCCTCCTCCTGTGTACTTATGTTCCTATAGAGCCTCTCCTGGGGCACGAGTCCGTGGTGTTTTACGTGTGTTCCTATAGATTGCCCCCTTCTCCTGTGGCTGCAACCCGGAATGTTTTATGTACGTCTGTTGCCAGGAGGCCCCAGGAGGCCCCAAGAGGCTCCTGGAGGCCCCAGGAAGCCCCAGTAGGTTTCAAGAGGCCCCAGGAGGCCCCAGGAGGACCCAGGCTCATGCGCAGAGACGCGCTCGTACTACTGAGGCTCATTCACATTCCAATTCATTCTCTGTTAGATTCATGACCAGACCGTCACAACTGAAGCCCGCTTATATTCGAAAGCTCTTGCGCCTAGACATTCACGGCGGACAGGTCCATGCGAAGAGACAAAAGCTTACTCATACTCAGACCTACTCATACTCAGATCTATTCCTACTCAGACTTACTCATGCTGAGACTCACTCATACCCAGACAAACTCATACTCAGAATTGCGGGGCGCTGGTTTCAGCACTCCTAATGGGAGCCGCCAGGGGTGATTTCACGGTCCCGTTCGCGGCCGTTTTGTGGGGATGTCTCAAGCGGTTTGATTGTATTCTGTCTCAACATCCTTGGCTACCAGCGTAGATTGTGCGGATGTCTTAGGCGGGGTGCTGGTTTCAGCACCCCTGGGGGGAACCGCCAAGGGTGTGTTCAAGGCTCCGTTCGTGGACGTTCTGTGGGGATGTCTCAACAAGATATTCGCATGTTGCGTTGCATGGCTAGACGCGCATTCCCAGATCCCATTGACAATTATCCTTTTTTGAAAAAAATGCACATGTGGGGATCTCCACGCAGTGAGTAATTGTATGAGGAAACGGGGTGGAAGAGCAAGGAGGAGAAGGAGGAGGAGGAGGAGGAAGAGAAGGAGCAGGAGGAGGAGGAGGAGCAGGAGAAGGAGGAGGAGCGAGGAGGGGGGGGGACAAGGAGGAGGAGGAGTGGGAGGAGGAGCGAGGAGGAGGTAGGAGAGGAGGAGGAGCGTGGAAGGAGGAGGAGGAGAGGTGCGAGGAGGAGGAGGAAGGAGGAGGAGGAGGAGGAGGAGGAGGAGCGACGAGGAGGAGTGACGAGGAGGAGCGGGGAGGAGAGACGAGAAGGAGGGAAGAGGAGCGAGGAGAAGGAGGGGAGGGGGGAGGAGCAGGAGGAGGACGAGAAGGAGGAGGCAGAGGGAGGAGGATGTTGGAGGAGCGGCGGACGAGGTAGGAGGAGGAGGAGGAGGAGGAGGTGGAGGAGGAGGAGGAGGAGGAGGAGGAGCGAGGAGCAGGAGGAGGAGGAGGAGGAGAGGAGGAGGGGGAGCGCGCAGGAGGAGGAGGAGGAGGAGGAGGAGGAGGAGGACGACGACGACGAGGAGGGGGAGGAAGAGGAGGAGGAGAGGGAGGAGGAGGCGGAGGAGGAGAGGAGGCGGAGGAGGAGGATGGATGTGGAGGATAGGAGGAGGGGGCGACGAGGAGGAGGAGGCGGAGGAGGAGGGAGGAGGAGGAGGGGGGGAGAGAGAAGGGGAGAAGGGGGAGGAGGAGGAGGAGGAGGAGGAGGGGAGGAGGAGGAGGAGGAGGAGGAGGAGGGGAGGGGGAGGATGAGCGAAAGCGAGGAGCGAGGGAGGAGGAGGAGGACGAGGAGGAGGAGGAGGAGGAGGAGGAGGAGGAGGGAGAGGGGAGGAGGAGCGGGGAGGAGAAGCGAGAAAGATGGAGGAGGAGTGAGGATAAGCGGGGAGGACAAGGAGCGAGGAGGAGAGAAGAGAAGTGAGGAGAAGGAAGAGGAGGAATCAGAGGAGCCAAGAGGAGCGAGGAGAAGCGGGGAGGACGAGGAGCGAGAAGGAGGGAAGAGGAGCGAGGAGAAGAAAGATGCGGAAGCGGAGGAGGAGCGAGGAGGAGGAGCAAGGAGAAGCGAGGAGGAGCTAGGAGAACGAGGAAAAAGGAGGAGGAGGAGTGAGGAGGAGGGAGGAGGAGGAGAAACGCCCCCAGCCCCAAAGCCTCCTGTCCTGGTACGCGGTAGACCGCTCAGGCGCCCTCCACCTCTGACCCGAAGCACTGGCGCGGCATTGGTGTCACCGTTGCTGCCCCATCCCCCCGAAGGCCAGTGCCGCGGCTGCTGCTGCTGCCGCCGCCGCCGCCGCTGCTGCTGCTGCTGCTGCGCTTCTGCTCTCGCGGCTGCTGCTCCTCCCCATGCTCCTAGAGTCGTGTCCCTCCTCCCTACCCCGTTCTCCCTTCCTCCTCGCCCCTTGCCTTCTCGCGCCCTCTTCCCTCTGGCGTGGGCGTTTGCGCTCGAAGTGCAGTCATCGTGCTACCACTGAAGGACGCTGCATGGGAATGAATGGGCGTTTCTGGCCACAGCGAGCCTCGGCCACAAATCGGTTCCCCGACCCAGATCTAAGGAACGGCCCGAAAACCAGAGCCCTCCTGAGCCCGAGGCGGCCCTTGTCTCGACGTCTCGGCTGCAGATGGGCTCGGAGCGCTCGTGCTCCTAAAGCCCCTCAGGTTTTGTCGGTCACCCGCCTGGAGCGCGTTTCTTCATCATCGGCGATGACGGGCGTCATGGCGGGGGGGGAGCGGGGGGGGGATGACGTAACGCCCCCTCCCCCCCCGCCGTGCGGCTCCGGCACCACAGCCGCGCCCGCGCGCACGACGACGATGAGCGACGAGCGACGAGCGACGAGCGACGAGCGACGAGCGACGACGACGACGACGACGACGACGACGACGACGACGACGACGACGCGAGCATCATGTAGGTGGCGGTCTGCCCCACAGCGCCCGTGTACACCACAGTGCGCGCGTGCACCACATCGCTTGTGTACATACACAACAACGCCTGCGTACACCGCGACAGCCGTGTGCAACGCAGAGCTTGTGTACACCACACTGCTTGCGTGCACCACAGCACTGGTGTACACCACAGCGAATGTGTACACCGCAGGAACCATGTGCAACACAGCGCCTGTCTACACCATGATGCTTACGTGCACCGCAGCGCGCGTGCACACCACAGCGCCTGTCTACACCTGCGGGTCGTCACTACAGCGCACGTGCGCGTCTCAGCGTGCACCGCAAAATGATTTATTCACTGGTGCCGTGCTGAGTGCACGCAGGCAGTGTGGTGCACACTGGTGCTGTGTTGCACACGGCTGATCTTGTGTACGCAGGCGCTGTGGTGTACACAAGAGCTGTGGTGCCAGCAGCCACTGTGGGGCACACACTGGCGCTGTGATGCACGCGGCTGCTATGGTGGGTGTACGTAGGCGGTGTGGTGTACACAAGCGCTGTGCTGCACGCAGGCACTATGGTGCACACAGGCGTTGTGGTGCAGATCGCCACCGACATGCTGCTGCTACCCGTCCTCGGTGATTCGTAGGCATTCCCAGACGCCGCCAGCGCGAAACGTGACGTCACCGACCTCCTCCAACCCCCCCAAAATGATTGCCGCCATCAGCCCGGAATAAAGAAAACAGGCTCCAGCTGCGTTCGCGCGCACGACGAGCGACGAGCGACGAGCGACGAGCCACGACGACAACGACGACGACGACGACGACGACGACGACGACGACGACGACGACGACGACGACGACGACGACTGCGGACTGGACTCCTATGCGGATCCCTATGCGGACACCTACGCGGATCACGATGCGCACGGCGGCAGTGCCCGGAACGCATTGGGGAGGGAGCGTTACGTTACAGGGGCCCTGGGACACACAAATAAATACACACAAACAACAGGATTCCCAATATTTTTCCTATATTTTCTGGGTTTTTGTCTTCCCCCCCACTTCCCATATTTTCCATATTTTCCTGGGAATCGACGATCATTGTGTCTGTGTTTTTTCCCCTCCTGAGTTACGTCATAAGGGGGGGCGGGGACCATAACGCCCGCCATGCCTCAGGCAAAGAAGAGACGGGCTCCTGGCTCTCAAGGGCGGCGCGGGCCCCGACTTGGAGTGGGCAGGGACACGCTCCCCCGTGTCACGTGAACGACGAGCACAAACGGGTCTTACGAGGAGGAGGAGGAGGAGGAGGAGGAGGAGGAGAAGGAGGAGGAGAAGGGGGAGGAGGACGAGGAGGACGAGGAGGAGGAGGAGGACGGCCATACGCCGCGGCTTTACGCGGGACGCCAGGGCCGCACACCACGCGCGTGGAGAAGAGGGACTCTTTCCGCGCGGCCGCACGCGGGAAGCTTACGCGCGAACGTCCGCGCCGTCGAGCCCGTCGCTCGCGTGCCGTCTCTGTCAATCTCCTGTAATTGAGGAGATGGGTGGGGTGGTCAGTCTTCTTCGTGTGGCGGAGAGATACGAACTGCAGTCTGGGTGCAAACGGCAGCGGTAAGAGGTGAAACAAGGACGGGCGACGCTGAGGGGCAAAACATACTCAACTCCCTTCACCCCTGATTGCAAGGATGGCGCCCCCACTGGCCCCCAATAGGCGGCCCTGAGCGAAGCTCATGCGAATCCGGCGGCCTACTGCCGCAAATTCGAGGAGCAAGAATCAGATCCCCCCGTCCCCCACTCCCCCCTCCCTCCCTCCCTCCCTCCCATCTCGCCTCCTCTCGCTCCCTCCATCACCTTCCTCCCCTCCCCCTCCCTCACTCCTCCCTCCCCCATGATCCCCTGAGATCCGACGTTGGAAAAAAAACATCGCAGCAAATCACAATTAGAGCCCCAGACCCTGCGGCATTCTTCGAGCTGGGTCGATAAGTGATGACCGCGGCGCCACAAGATCGAAAACGCCGAGTGCGACGAATCCTGCAACGCCGGGATCTCAAGGCCTCAAGGCCCCAGCGTGAAAAAATACAGCGAATCACCGCCGTTCCCCTCTGCCCTCCCTCCCCTCCAGTCCCCTCCCTCCCCCTCCCCTCCCCTCCCCTCCCGTCCCCTCCCTCCTCTTCGCCCCCTCCCCTTCCCCACTTTTCCCTTCCCTCTCGCCTCCCCTCTCCTCCCCTGGCCGACGGCCCAGCGCACACGGTCCCCACTCCGCGCGTCGTCGCCGGCTTGATGCTCGCGGCGCCCGCGGCCGCGGCGTGGAAGGCCTCCTCCACCGCGTCCCTGGCCGCCGCATGCTCGCGCAGGAGCTGCACGAAGCCTCCGCTGGCCAACCGCTCCCCGGGAGGCCCTCCTTCAGGCCGTGGGGAGGGGGAGAGGGCCTGGGAGGGACTGGGAGGGGGAGGAGGAGGAGGAGGAGGAGGAGGAGGAGGAGGAGGAGGAGGAGGAGGAGGA